GTTAAGGTTGAATGTTTCCATTGTTCTGAATGCTTTCCATTGATTGTCGTGTTTCTTGTCGTTGATTTGCAGGAGATAGAGATGATGCTAAAAGAACTGAGCGATGACGACTCTCCCACAGATACGATAGCGCATGATGAGTTTTGAACTTTTCAGTTTTTTTTTTTTGTTTGTTTTTTAATTTTTTGGTACCTTTAAGGTTTAAACCCAAATCTCTTTGTTCAGCTCCGTATTTTACTATTTTCAGGCTTTTGGCTATTGCTACAAATCCTTTTTTTTTCTTTTTTTTTTTTTTAAACAAAGAACTCAACTCGAAATCCATTTAATTCACATCCGATCCTTCTTCATATTAATCTTCCTGCTTGTTGCCACGAGTCACGACGACTCGTTTCTGTTCCACCAATCGAGCAGTGCAACCCTTCATTGAGTGACATCCCAAAACTCATTCGCGTTTTCCGTTGATTTGGACGTGTTTCCGTTCGTGTTTCTTTTCTTTTTTTTTGCTGAAGATTTTTACTATTTTAGGCATGTTTTGGTTGGTTGTGGAGTTTTCGGGATGTGGAGATAAGTGGGGAGAAGGGAGGGAGGGAGGGGGAAGGGGGGGAGGAGAAGGGGTATAGCGGAAAGACAGCACAATCGATGATTTTGTTCGCACCATAACAGACTCCCATTTCTTCTCTTTTTTTAGCAGATCCCCTTTTTTTACGGAGAATTCGAGAGAGTGTATGTGTCGCACGTAATTCACCATTTTTTTATTCGCCGCGCCTTTGTTCGACAATGTTGTCGACAACATAAACGATGATTTTGTTCGCACTGCAACAGATTCCCTTCCGTTTTTTGAAGTTGCTTTTCTTTTTTTTTAATGGATGACCTTTTTTACGTAGAATGCGAGAGAGTGTATGCCCTTTTTTACATAGAATGCGAGAGAGAGTGTGTGTTAAAATTCACCAGATTTTGATTCACTGCGCTTTTGCTCGTGTGAGGAATTCCCAGAAATGTCCAGAATTTCATTCATTCTTTCCCCTCGTTAACACCAAAAAAAAACAAGAAAAAAAAACAAAAAGAATGTGTGTGTGTGTGTGTGTGTGTGTGTGTGTGTGTGTGTGTGTGTGTGTGTGTGTGTGTGTGCAGCCTTTCAGCAAAAAAAGAAAAGGAAAAGAATGTGTGTGTGTGTGTGTGTGTGTGTGTGTGTGTGTGTGTGTGTGTGTGTGTGTGTGTGTGTGTGTGTGTGTGTGTGTGTGTGTGTGTGTGTGTGAGAGAGAGAGAGTTATGAACATGATTGTCCGTTGAAATTTTATCAACGCTCACTCACAGGAACTCCCGTACACGTCCCTACATGCACAGAAGGAAGGGGAGAGGTAGTGGAGTGTCACACCGCCCAACAGAAAGAACGCAGCGGAAGACTCAGAGGACCGAAGTGACAGAACACACAAAACTGTGGATTCTCTCCACACAAGTCCCAACAATCATTCATAGAAGACAACCGAGTGATCACAGCCAGAAATCAATGAAGAGATGACAACTCAAACACAGTATTACAACTGTTTATTAAACTCAGAGCATCGTTGTCCCTGAATAACCTTAGATCCCTGTTGCGCTACCCTCAGAGGGGTAGCGCCTCAACCCCACACACACCGAGCAGCTAAAAATAGCACCAGAACCCCAGGTAACACCCAGCGGCACCCTGACATCCAACTCAGTGGCCTGTGCCAAGATGAAACAGGCTCCCAGAGCCAATCGCCACCCAGATGATGAAGAAGAAGCTCAGCGCCAACAGTCCCTGATGAAGACGATGATATCCTCTGAGAAGATGCAGCTATGGCTGCATCGCCACTGAGACCCTACTCCTGAGGAGGGTAAGCAGTGCACCACGTGCTCCAGCGCATCAGACTTCCGATAGCCCAGACCGCTTTGACTCCCAGAGAGTCAGAGCGGACAGCGTTGACCCCAGTCTGGTCAGCGCTCCGTAGGCCTGGCTATGTCCGCCGTCTCCAACACCGGAATCAGCAACCACGACCTGATACCGTGTGCGCAGCAACTTCCACCACAAAGTGTCAACTGCCAAAATCCCAGGACCGATGTCTCCATCCTATCTATACCCTAGACTAGCCTAGACACGACCTAGACCGGACTGACTGACCGACCGGTACCGTTTCTGTTTCGGCCGCTAGGGCCTCTCCCTACCCGGCTATAGGCTATAGGACCGTCTATCAGCGTAGGCCCATTGGGCCTGTCTGTCCTAGGGATAGCCCAGGTCTGCTATTCGCAGTTAGGATCACTGTAGGAAATTCGAGTTAGCACTGGGCCCTTATCTCCTATATTTACAAATATGTCCCTCACGAATTTTCCTTACAGGTAGGTCTCTCAGTTAGCCCTTAGCCAAACAAAATTACGAATCTGTCCCTACCTATAGTACAGCCTCGTCTGAGAGAGGCTACAGGCAACCTGGAACCAGCAAGTCATTGCATGTTGTGTGTGTGTGTGTGTGTGTGTGTGTGTGTGTGTGTGTGTGTGTGTGTGTGTGTGTGCAAGGAATATGAGCGAGAGCGATAGACAGAAATCCATGTTGAAAAATCCGGAAGTAGCTCAGATAGTCATGAACCAGTAGAGAGTGCAATGCACCGAGATACCGTCCAAATAAGAGCGCAATACAATGAACTCGAATGTCAGTGTCGCCACTTTCCGGCCACACCAGCATACTATCCAATGTCGTTCCTACAGTCTGGCGCCCAGCGCCCAGCCTATCCTACTCAGCCTATCTAGTCTATCTACTCACTTGTGACAGGATCACTCTGAAGTTGAAGATAAATGTACGTGACGTCAATACCAATGCCGACCACCAGCATACACCAGGCAAGTTCTCTCTCCTCCCCTCATCACCCCTCGTCTTCCCACAGCACGCGCCTCCAACCCGAAGACCACCTTCGCCATCACCTGCCCTCTGCCCCAGCTGCCCAGCTATGGCTGCTGGTGTGCGCCTGCTGGGCGCCCGTGCGCGCATCCGACCAGCAGGGCCCATGCAGACACTAGCACATCAACGCCGCAGCGTGTCTGCATTGCCTGCCTAGGCCAGAATACCCTGCCTGGGCTGACCTCTTTCCTTTATGGAAAGTGCAGCCCCTGTGTGTGTCTGTGTTGCATACTGTAACGGTGCAGACCAGAACAAGAACCGACCTCTCTCACAAAGTACAAGATAGCATAGCGGAAGACTTCGATACCAATGATCTGAACAGTCAATGTTGCAATGAGCCCCGAACATACATCATCATCATCACTCCATGGTGTGAAGGGGCCTGGTGCTCACACAGGAAGAATGCGCCAGTCCCCCACCATACACAGACGAGGAAGAGGGGGGTTAGACGAAGAAGAGGGGAAGATGGGAATGTCGTCAACACCAAGTCTTCGGCACAGGCCCAAATAGCCCTCGTCAAAATGTCTGAATCC